TGAATGTTTATTATTTTATAAGAACGTCCTCCATCGCAGTCCGCCATAGATCTTTAAACCAAGTTGTTCCGTAGGCAACCGTTGTTTTTTTAATTATTTAAATTGCCATCTGGGGCTTTCGTTAAAGCAATTTCGCCGACTAACCAACAGCAGATATAATACACGCCCTCGCGGACGCTTTTAATAGACGAATTAATTATTATTCAAACCAGCCGCCTTATTTCCACGCCTGTTCCCCTCCGGGCCGCGGCGTCGCAATTTTCCATTTTTAACAATTATTACAATCCGCGACGCCGGCGCCGTCTACTTTCGGGATACAACATAATTTAATTAAAACTTAAATAACTCCCGAAATCCTCTTAATAGATTTAATTCAATTAGCGATGCCGTAAGAATGCACTTTATTGTTCGGTCGCTATTAGCGCGGGATGAGAGTTCGGGAGAGAGAATTTCGAGGAGATATCGACGAGGGCTTCGAACTATCGTCCGATATTAATAAATAATAACTCCGGGACGTCTCGCGTTAGCGTCCGCTCGCCCGTTCCCGAATCTCGTCTAATTGAAAGCCGGCCTCCATTTTTCAACTATAACGCATCAATACCATAGAGGGACACGATTTTTGAACGATTCAAATAGTATCGGTATCTTCCTGCAATAATATTTACAGCCAGCTCATTCGTTCTCCTTTAATAACAATGATCATCAATAATACTAATTACAAATTTTCTCGGTTGTTAATAAATCGCATTTGCTGACGTTTCGCCAGTCATCCTGTTAGCTTCTTCAGAGATTAAACGATACTGACGCAGTTATCACAGTTAAGAAGTCAACAGAAAATTTATAAATAGTATACAGAAGTGTCAACTGACGAATTATACAATAGCCAGATTGACGAGAAAAGTGGAGCACATAATCTGTAGAAAATCGACGAATTGAGTCCTTACCTTAGTATGTGTTTTATCGCACTTATGGTCCCGGGTTATGCGGGGAGCCGACCACTCTAAATTGTCACTAACTGATAACTGTTAGTCACTAACTGATAATTGTTGATTATCAGTCACTAAATAAAAGTATGTCGAAATGACCGAAAAAGTAACGTGAGAAATAACGAGCGACGAATTAAAACGTGTTTTTTAAATTTTGAATCCAAAAAAAGCAAACTACAACTTGCACTCTGCATTTGCGTATAGGCCTCAAAACGTAAAGCGAAATAAAATAATTTAAGAGTGTCAAACTAAATTGCAGTGGTAGCAAATTGTTTTCCCTTTTACTATTAGAGCAACTAATATTAGGGAAATGTAAACGTAACATTCCGCCTACCAAAATACAAAGTATTTTTTTATCAGCTATTGGTAGCGGACGCGGTTTAATAACCAGACCTTTGAAGTCTTGACAAGAGCCACTCTAACTATAAAGAACCGAGATAAACTTCGATTATACGACCCATCTTCCACTGCATTGGCGAGGCGAGATCATCTTTTATTATTTAGCGTACCAATTACAACAGAAGAAGGTTTCTTATACTATTTGCTACGCTGATAATAAATATTCAAAAGTTCTTTAGAGTAGTTGCCAACGATCTAAGTGACTACGTCGACGTGCAATCAGGTTCAGGGGTGGGCCATCAGCCAACTTCAATTAAAGGGGTAAGTGGACCCGAATTCAAAATGATTTCAATATGGATGATAACAGTATTCAACTCTTCATGACCGCCAACTGATAACAGTATTCAACTCTTCATGACCGCCAACGACCCTGTAAAGTAACCGTAACCGTAACCAACCAAAACGTGAAGCCGAAGGAGGGTTGAAGTGCCAGGTAATAGACTCTTTATTGGCAAACTCTCGCATAAAATGATGATGAACGATAACAAAATTTGTGCCACAACTATATAGGTGTTCACATCTACCCCTCTGAGCTAAAAAGCGACGTAAAGCAGCTAAAAAGGCGTCGGAGGAAAGATCTGACACCAATTCCAAGTGCAAAGCTTTCACGGAGTAACAAACAAAAAGGCAGATATAGGCTTTGAAAAGCGCCCCGAACACAGGACAGCTTAATGGTTAGAGGCAAAGCGTAATCTACAGCCGTATGCAGAAAGCATTTTATTTGGGAAAAACGAGCGAGTACCAATAGATCGAGACATTTAGAATCCAAAAAATGGAAACGACAACTTGCACTTTGCATTTAGAATTGTCAAAAATTTGTATTTTAGGACAACTAACATTAGAAAAAAAGGACAAAATTAAATTAATTTAAAATTAAAGGAACATGCAAATATAACAAGATTGCTTTCGAAAAAGCGTCACTGCGCGGGCAAGTTCATCGCAAGCAGCGCGAAGCAGCTTTTTATTTACAAAACCGCTTCGTGGTTTCTTGTAGGGAACGCATTGTTTTTCTATCGTGCTGAACTTTCGCAAATTCGATGTAGTTTTATCGTGCATACACCCTCTATAAAGTGTCTTTCAAGTCCCGCTGAAATTCAAAATCATGAAAAACTTCGGTAAAAAAAATTAATTTGTACCAGTAATAACGATTTACAATAATATTTTTTGTTCAAATATCTCGCGCACCCTGTATAATACACATAAACTGTAAATCATTGTAACTCTCGACACAGTTTAAGATACTGTGCAAACTAAATTATGCCATCTTTTACAGTTTTTCATTTAAGGACATAAATTTACTCATAAAAAAGAACATTTTCAGGATTTTTTAGAATTTTTGCTTAAAAACAACAATCCCTGTATATAAATAACAAAATTTTCGACGTGGGTGTTATAGCCCTTGATCTTCCACGTTTCCTGGTCCGCGAATTTTTCCCATAGAGGAAATGGTTTTCAAGAAAATAATTCTTTTCTGAAACTATGCAGTACCCCGTAATAGGGAATGACGCCATCGCGTCTATGTTGAGTGTGAGAAACAGCGATTTTCATATTGATTTCTTTAAATGTCTCGTAAATACGAAAATTGTAGCTCTTGATTCAGCCTATATTACTGTGTGTACCAATTAGCCATATTTTCTACAGATTTTGACTTACGGGAAATAATTTACTCTGGAAAAGAACAGTTTTCAAAGTCTCTTAGATTTTTGTCTATAAGTGAAAAAACCATGTGCATAATCAAAAAAACGCATGAAATAAAAGTTATAGCACTGGATCTTTCGCGTAGAATTTTGCTAATCGGATTAATAGTTTTCGAGGAAATATATTTTTTCTGGGAGACGAAATAATTCAAAAAAAATTTTTCAATTTTTTTTTAAACATACTTCCCGACATTCGATGGCACCAAGTTTCAACAGTCTAAAGGTGGGTGTGAATTTTCTACCTGTCTGCGAAATTTGAAGTCGATAGCTGCAAATTTGAGATACTTGCTACATTTCTTAATATAGCCAGAAATAAATTGAACCCCCTGAAAAACTTAAATACAAAAGTTTTAGCTGTGCATACGAACTATATGAGCATATAAAAGAAACTGACTATCAAAGCTCAACCTTCTAGTTATGATCAATTTCCAATATAGCGAGACCCCAATCTTCATTTTTTTGCGAATACCGGCAACAATATTTTCAACAATTATCAAGAATAAGGATGTGCCTCGTGAAGGGTTTAAAAGGAGACAAATCTCAACTGCTTAGGTCAAACTGTTCCTAAGTTATTTCGTAAAAACCAAAAGGAGAATGGACAACAGAAAAACAAATTTTTTTTCGACGCTGATTCGTTCTGTACCAACGGCGGTCCCGTCCCTACCAATACCGAGATCACGGGTTTAGCGCGTATACTTTCAAAAAGAATCGATTAGTAATAATAAGAAAAACAAAGATCATCAATAATCTTTAAAAAATAATGATGTGGTTTTAAGAGACTGGAATATCCACAAATTGTTATGTATTCAAATTCTGTAGTGGGATGTCGTCACAATAAGAGAAAAACTAAAACCATCTTTCACTAAATACGTTGCATAGATAAGACAGCTGGGCTATTGACGACAATGGAAAATCTATGAAAAGGATTTTTTTTAATCAGAATTAGGTCTGAATTGTATATATTGTTAGAATTAAAAAATACGTCAGCAAGAAAATTATCAAAGTTTGAAAAACGTCAGAGCGTCAAATAATAACAGTCTAAAAGATCTGTTCCTTCCCCTCCATTATAATCTGACGCCCACATAGTAAAAGAGATGGAAAAAAGCTATTAAATGCAAATGAAAGAGGTCCGGCCAAACTCCCTTGAGGAAGCACATTTAAAACCTCCCAAGAACACCATGTCAAAATATGGCGTCGAGTGGCATGTCGACATTTATAACGTCAAAAAGTCAGCTGTAAATCGCAGAATATACAGACTGCCTATTAAAACAGTTGTGAATAGTTTAATTTTTAAATCGTAATTCGTCAATATGACAAGAGGCGGCATCAAGCGCGTTTATTAGCGATTCGGAACAAGCGAGGCAGATAACGCTTTACCAAATGACATTAAGAGTCGTAAAGTGTGCACACGGTACACAGCGTGTAGATAACCGAAATTTCCGGGTGCCCTTTTCCAACGAAATGCCGCCGCCGACTTAATTGAGTAATCTTATACGAGGGTTCGTGAATTTATATCGTCCTAATTAATTTAACTGTACGAATATACCAAAACGTTTCGCCAACGACGCCACGTCGCATTTCACAAAACAACCAACGGACGACACGAGTAGAATCTAATTCCAACTAATCTAATAATGTAATTTCTATATAATCAATCGATCTATATATACGCAGACTACTCACCCACCTATCCACATAAGATGCTCGCACCATCATGGGCTAATATAAAATTTAATTTGTATTTTAAAAATTGTGGCAATTACTAGATATGGCGTATTTGTATTCTCACTACTCTGTACTCCGAGAAATGCAATAATTTTGGAATTATAGACTGAATGCCTAATATCCTAAAATCGTCTCAGGACATGGGACACAAAATCACACTTTTATTCTGAAATCAGAAATGTTTTGGACTAACCTTGGATTACCACGCAGAGCGGCATGATGAAGTGCATTGAAACCATTATTATTGGTCAGTGTTATGTCGGCGGTGTGGTCCAATAACAAAGTCAGCATGTCGTCGCGTTTCTTCGATATGGCGTCGTGGAGAGGAGTATCACCTTCCAAGTCCTGGAAAAAAAGGACGACCTTTCAGTTTAACTCGGTGAAAGACGTCAGCAGTCAGAGAAATATCCCCAATTTCCAAGCCCGCGGACTCTTTTAAGTTTCGGCATATTAATGATCCCCCAGTCGTGGTTATCTAAGACCTAATTAAAACGTCTAGATCTTAAAACTCCGAGAACAAATGAACGCTCTCGAAAGGTCATTGTTTGAGCTGACAGGGAGATATATTATAATCATCTTGGGCCATTCGGGAGGGAAAATCCTTTGAGCGGTGTTTCGCGGGGCAAGACAAAGGCGGAAAACATCCAAGACGTTTCCTTTTCATTAAAAACCTACTCTCGTCCAATTAGCGTCCGCCTCGTTTATTTTTCCCGACGATGTTAAAGTAGGAAATGTTAAATAGTCGTACGGAAAAAAAATCGGCCGACTAATTATTTTGGTTAGGAGAGATTAAGGTCTTACAATGAAAGCTTCATTGTTGTTAATTAAAGCAACAATTGTACTTTTCTGGATAATAGGAAAGAAACGGAACAAAGGCGCTGTACGGAATTTTATCATTTTAATTATTAACGTTTCCGCATCGTGCATTATACCAGTTTTTTCAAAAATCTGAATGAATAATAGACCGGTAGATCTACAGGACAACCATCTACTTAAATTTCCTAAATTTATTGGTATATTTAAAAACATGGTCCCGATCTTCCACTTGCAACGAATTATATAGAACACATTTTTTGGATAGATACGTTTCTAAATAATAAATTAGCCAAATTTATAAGAGATGACAGGAGCAGAAAAATTAAGAACTATACAAAGATAACGCATCTCGTAGTCACATGGATGATGAAAGAGAATTACTTGCTTCTGGAAGAGTTGGAGAGAACACTATACTAAATGCTAGTTGACGTCATCTTTTAAATGTTTTTTTTCCAATTGACTTCTATGAAACGGAATCAGTACGGAACAAATAAATCATAAAAACAAATAAATACAAAACCGAATGAAGGAGCATTTATGTGAACAATTTTCCCATCGTAACAACTCTGCCGTTTGACGTTGACGATTTAAACCTAACTTGGGCGCTAAAGTTAATCGGTCGTTCTCAGTATCAACCCTTAAAATAATCACAGCTTAAATTCTTGATCAAAACTACCGTAAATCCACACCGCGAGTCGCGGACAGAGTATATTAAGAATGATCTATTTCAAAGTATGCGGTGAATAAATTATAATAAAGAACCCCCCGGGGATAATGGGAGTAGTTTTGAAAGTTTCTCTCGCTGTTAAGTGGGCGAAGCCTGAGAGCAGTTAACGTGTGAATTACGTCCCCGTCCCCGCATTATACGAATGTGAATATGACTGAACGCGGCGGTTTAATTACTCCGCAATTAACGTTTCCGAAGGCTTTATTATACTCGCAAATGTTCTACGAGTTTTAAAGGACTCCGGATTAAATCCGCCAGAAACATATTGTCGTGACGCATGTGCGCCTAAACCGATGCGCAATCGTTTACTCACTAATATTGCCGGCCATGTCCGGCGGCAATATGTATGAAAAAATGAGGAAATAAAAAAAATCATTGTGGGATGTGACTGTCATTTTTCAATCACAGTCCTAAAGAAGAGGCGACAGTTTTAAAATTCATTCATTCAGTGTGCTACTATATAGTGAGCTTAGTAGGTAAACCTTTCTTAAGTATATATAATAAATATTAATTATTATTCACAACTTTGTAGAACATGACTACCATTTTATTATTCGTTTCAAATGCAGAAGGTAAGGTAAGGTATCACTAATCCTGAATTTTTTTTAATGTTTATATGTTTGTGAGGCTAATTTTTTGAAGAATCACATTGACAACAAATTACACACATCGAAAAATTTTAAACATTTTGACAGATGTTTTAATTTGAATACTGATTCTAAATAATTTTGGTAGGCTGATTTCAAAAATTCTATACATTTATTTGTATCACAAAAGGTTTTTTATTCAGTAAAAAAGTGTAATCTTACTTTAAAAAGGTTAAGGACAAGGAAAGTGTTCTAACATGTTTTGAATATTACTTTCGTAGTTTTCGTCGTTAGAGTTTCCACGAAACTTATCAATTACTTCTTTAAATGAAACCCAGGCGTCTTTCTAGACATTGGTCATTGTGTTTTCAAAATCCTTGTCTTTGCATAATGCTCTTTTCTGCGGCCCAACAAAAATACCTTCTTTTATCTTAGCACCCGATACGGCTGGAAATTTCTGGCACAAATATTTTAAATAATGTAAATTTTTGTCTAGGATTTTAACAACGTGTTCATCAAGGCAAGTCTGATATGAAGAGGAGGCAGTAAAACTTTTTTAGGGTCAACTAAGCTGTCTCTTAGTACATTTTTGCTATCAGGTGTAAGGCTTATTCTATTTGAGTCCAATGTCTATCTCCTGCTCGACTATCCCACTCATAAATAAAGCATGGAAATTTTGTATAACCCCCTTGTTGTCCTAGGAGCATGCACAGCACTTTAAGATCGCCACAAAGCATTCAGTGATGTTCTTGGTAGTTTATGTTCTTTAAAGGAATTCCAAAATTTGTGCAACGGGAACCGATCAAACTCGTTTGTGCAATAAAATGCTTTTTAAACTACGCTTACTGGAGTCAATAATCAGGCGCCATTCTTCTTTTCTACACGGCACATTTTATAATTTTGGAACTACGTCGGGAATATTGTTGCAATATCCTAGCGGTCCTTCTTGAGTAAAATATTGACATAACATTGAAACTCTCGTGTTATTAAAATTGCTCCTTCACTAAATTTATCATAACAAAGAAAGTAGAAAAATGTATTAAAGTGACAGAGGCGAAGAATTTGTATGCAGTAAAATCTCCGAAAACATCCGATTACTGCCAAACCAGTACGGTAATATCTCGGAAATGTCGGAAAAACCTTGGATCAGATCATTTAATTCGCTCTGGTGAAACAGTTCGGGCTCTCTGAAATCTGGTGTGAAATGTGAGACATCTAGGTCCGAATTACATTCTTCTGATTCTGACGATATGACGTTTTCTAGTACTTTTGGGCGGTAGGTATCGGTACACCTGGTCTAATCGCAGAGTCAAGATTGGCATACACAATTTGTTTCTTATTTTTCCGTTGAATCTTAACATCACAAGAATAAAAATAACAACCATCTCTGTCATTCCTAGGCTCTTGCCATACCATAGGCACACCAAAGCTTAAACATTTCTTCCCACCTTTTTGCAAGTTAATGCTTCGACGCAATCGGAACAAACAGTATGAGGAGCCCAGGACTTGTTTTGGTCGCCAATTTTTGCACCAAAATAAGCGTGGCATACATTTGCCACAAAAGAACTTATAGTTTGCCTTTGCTTCACTGTGACATAACTACCACAAATACAATGTATACATACTTATACGTTCTAAAATACTAGAAATATGCAACAACGAAGACAACAGCCGCGAACACAGCAGCACGAAGACCAATACAACCAAACTGCGCACAGGTTACAACGCTGTATTGACGCTCCAGCGCCAACTCTGTGGGTTTGCAGAGAAACTTAATATTACCCAGTGCTGCAAAATCACATTTAATTTCATAAAATTCAGTTCATTTAAAAAAAAAACATAATCATAATATAACATAATATTAATAAAATAACATTTTTAAGATATAGAGCGCTATAAAAAAAAGTGGCGTTTTTTAGAAAAAAGGCCCCCGAAAATACACAACTAAGCATACATCATTGCAGACCTGTGCTATTAACCATATATTAACGCGACCATTTTCTTAGACTCGTAACTTTCCGCCAACCACAGCAGCCTCGCTAATACGCAAATACGTAAAACTTTTCATCAAAGCGTGGAGCTCCAATGGGACGCGGCGGTATATATAAAGACCAAATGCTTCAATGAGCGCGTGGCGGAAATCCAGAGGATAAAAACGAAAGAATTTTCATATTACATGGGCGGCGGACGCATCGCAAGGCTACGAAAACCCGCGCGTTATCGCGTTAGAACAGGAAATAGCGGTAACGCGAACGCTTTGAATTTAAAAGTTACAAAAGCTGTTCGAGCGAGTTTTTTTTTTATTCCACGCCATTATTGCTGTAGTTGCTGTCGTCGAGAAGGAATTCTTCCTGATTGGGTGCGCCGGGTTCAGTAACACCTACTTAATTAACTAAATCTATAGTAATGACTAAAATGATTTATTATTCTTGATATATAATCGGGGACGGAATGGAAGATTGCCGTGACCCGAGACAGGACGGGTCGGCGCGCCATCTGTTTCTATCATGCAAATTACACCAAGATTTAGCGCATATCTTGACCTTAATCGTGACGGTGTACACTTGGATGTCTAATATATATTTCTTATCTATCGTACGCTGTCGTCTGACCAACCCGGACGTAATTTGTTTCGAGCTAACGTACCGAAGCTCCGAAATGAAAATGATTGATATGGGTCGACGGAATGAGAGGGAATACCGACCTTAACTACAACGAGTATTAAATTTAAATAAAAAAAGTTAAACGAGGCAAATGTAAAAAAAATACTTAGGAATCCAAATAAAAGTAATGAAAAAACAGAGACAAAACAAAAAGAACTTACACTTTCTTATGAAGATGGCTAGAAGAAAAAAGGCAGGTTACGAATAAAACATAAACAAAGATTAGAAAAAAAAAAGGAAAATTAAAAAAAACAGAAAAAGTAAGTTGAATGTGGATTATGAATCTTAACTAAGTGGTTTTAAATCAGTAATTTAAACATCTATTTTTGGCCACCAGTTTAGTTAATGAAATTAAACTTCATCGGGACCTCTTGCCAAAATGCGAAGAAATACAGAAATAATATTAAAAAGAGAAAAATAATTAAAGACGATTAAAAACCGTTTACACAAAATAACAAGAAACCTGTTTTTTGTCATCTATATTTATTCCTATTTAGTTTTTATTTTTCTAACAATGAAATTCTTGTTTTGTTTTTGTTGATAGCTACTGAT